GAGAAGTAAAAAACAAAGTGTGGTGGCTAGATCTAGTGCTGAAGCAGARWATARAGYGRTGDYTCATGGGGTTGCTGAAATCATGTGGATAAGAAATCTGTTAGGTGAACTGGGTTTGCAGTGAGCAATCCTATGTCACTCTACTGTGACAATAAAGTTTCCATCAATATTGCTGCTAATCCAGTCCTGCATGATAGGATGAAACACATTGAAGTGCACAAGCATTTTATTAGAGAGAAACTTGTAAATGGAGAAGTGTGTACTCCATATGTCAGCTCAGAAGAACAACTTGCAGATATCTTCACCAAAGGTCTTCATCATGTACGGCACAAAGATTTGTGTGACAAGTTGGGCATGATTGACATCTATGCTCCAACTTGAGGGGGAGAGTTGAAATAATTTAGTTGTTGGTGTTGGGGTCTATTTGGCTAGTTAAAGTGTTTTTTTATTTACTTCTGTTATGTCTGTTATTGTACTCACTTATAGCAGGGGCACAAGGGTCTTTTCCCTTGTTATTTCTGCTGCCCTATATATATTATAATAAAAGTTGGCGCTGCCAGCACTGTTACATTGCCAATCCCTTCTCTTCTCTTCTCCCTTCTCTCTTCTTCTTCTCTTCTCTTCTCTTCCTCTTATTTCTGGCTGGCCACACTGTCAAGACACCATTTAAAATAATAATAGATCCCCTATCGCTAATTAAGGGAAAATAATCACCTCAAAAGCCATTTAAAATAATAATATACAAATATAAAAAGCATAAACTATCACCATCCAAATGAGAATCCTACTCCTGCTCCATGGATGAGATGTGTGATGGAAAACAAAAGTGGATTGTCGCCTCATCACCTTGGGTCGTCTTTCTATAAATCAAAATCATGATTAAATATTAAATAAATCTACACTAGTATTCTTCTAGAATAATTGAGTATCATAAGCCAAGCAGTTGGATAGAAGAGAGCATGCATTGAATGTCAACAATGGTATCACAAAATTTCATACAAGTGATATTAAAGGATGTAGAGATAAAAAATAAAAAAGAGAAAGCCACCATGGTTGAAGTAATAACAATTTAAAGTGATAATAAAAAGTAGCAATACACAGAGCAGTCAAATAACTCTCGATGGCTCTTCACCCCATAAGATAAGGTTATCTGTAGCAAGTAGCTTCTGAATCAGCCAGAAGGTTACCCACATATTCTAATTGCTAACATTGGATTTTCTTGCATTTTTCTTACACTTAAAATTATTCGGGACAATTCAGTCTTTTAGGTGGCATAGCTTGCAGGTTCAACTTGGGTAAGGTTCAATTGGGAATTTGTCAAATTTTCAATTGGCTTGAACCCTAACCCAAGCATGATGTAGTTGAAATTCTTGTCAGGCAACCTAACTTGCAGCCCTAATGGCTTGGTGGTAAAGTCTCAGGCTGATGTCCAAGTCTAAGAATGGCCAATTTGTTGCTAAAAGTGCTAGAAGTTAGGTCAATATCCCATCCACCTGAGGTAGCTCATCCTTCTACAACTATAGACAAAACATCAAATCAATTTATAGATGGATTTGAGCATCCCAAAGTAATTGAAGCATATTAAAGAGAGGAATCAATTGCTGCACCAAAATTTGATTGCTGAGAATTTATAAATTGATATTTCCTCGTTTATTTTGAGACCAAGTGTTAAATTTTAGTAAGCTTAATAATTTGTTAGGTCTATGATTAGTAGTTTCCTATTTTGATTAGGAAGCTTTGAGTTTGAGTCAACTACTATTTTGTATACTTTCTATTTTCTTGGTTTCTAATTATTTGTGATCCTATTTCTAGTTTCCCTTCTCCTAGGTAAATATTGTCTAGGTTTCTAATTTTTGAGTTTCTATTTTCTAGGTACTTCATAATTTATTTTCTATCGGGACTCTAATTATAAGGCAAAGTCAAGAGCTGTAAAATCTGGCCACAGGGTTCAGTTTTTTATGTGAAATAAAGTATTCCTCTGTTTTGTAGTTCCATTATTCTTCTCTTTCTAGTTTTGATCTTTCAGACACAAGCCACCAAAAGATCTTTCAATCTTCAACCTTGTTCCACAAAGACATGCCAGACCTTGAGTGTACCCACTAACTCAAGGCTAAACCAGCTACACTAAGCACTGCTTGTAAAAATCTTAATCCCCTTGCATTAGTTTGTGTTAGAGATAAGATGCCTCCAAGAAAGGCCTCCAATCCTAATGCCAAGGAAGAAACTAGTGAGGTTACTATGAAGAAAACAGAGGGGCTCTTGTTGTGGAAATAAGAAATAATGTGGCAGCAAGAGAGGCACATACTAGATCTATGACATCAACAAGAACTTAAGAAATGATCATGGCCACAAGAACAACAATTTTCTAGCTATCTACAATGAGTTTGTATGTCAAACCATCCCCAAAAATCTTCAGTCACATTATTCCCCCCTCTAGCCAAAAGGGCCACATTACTCTCTTCAGACAAGACCAAAGCATATACCTCCTGAATTCTAGGTAATTCCTCACTCTCCCAATCAAAGGACTAGTAATGGTCCAGTTCCTTGCACATGTGTACAAGGCTAGAAGAGTAAGTAGAGTGTGATTTGTCTCCTTCACAAGCTGAATATTCCACTTGTAGTTGATACAGTTGCATAGTGTCTTTGTTCTGAAAAGTGCTGCATGGACTCTCCTAAATGGATGATGTATCATGTCAAACATGCATCCAAATCCCACACACCGCACAAATTCTAAGGGCACTTCTACATAACATTTCCTTTTTCTATCCTAGCTATCTGGCATAAATGAATAACTTATCTACAAGAGGAATCAATTTTTCATATCAAATGTCATTTAGTAACAACCAACATTACAACCTTTGGACAAACTGGGCACAAGTAGCGAGGTGCTCTTCCATTAAAAATAAGACAGTTACAAGGTGGTCTCCTTCATCTGAAGGCTCTTTAAAGCTGAACTTCGATGGAAGTAGCTTGAGCAATCCAGGGCTATCTGGAATTGGGGGTGCTCTGAGGAATGAGTTTGGAGAGGTGGTACTGCTCTACTCAGGTCCTTTAGGAGTTGGAGATTCTGTTAGGGCAGAGCTTTTAGCTGCTGTACAAGGGGTGTAGTTTGCAAACCAATTGGGGGTAGAGCATCTAATCATTGAAGAGGATACCAAGGTGGTGGTGGGCTGGCTGAAAAACCCAAAAACCCTGAGGATACAAGATGGTGCTACAAGAATGAATTTAAGAAATTTATTTGGCTGACAAGGAACGTGTTGGTTTCTATACAGTGGGTGAGGAGATCAGCAAATACTTCAGCTGATGTGTTAGCCAAACAAGGGGTAAATAGGGAAGAATTGTTTTGGCGTCAGCTGTGATTTATGTAATTTATTACTAGTTTTTTTATGAGCTATTGGGAGAGGCTGCAGCAAGTGCCTCTCCATGGGTTGTTGTATGATGTTACAAAGCAGTTTAATAAAACTTTTATCACTCATCAAAAAAAGCATTATTTGTAGGTATATAATGTTAGAATTCAAAAATATGACTTGTTTTAATAGTATATACTTTTCCATAGATGTGTCTACAAGTCCATTTTTCTCATCTTGTTAAGACTCTTGGAAAGGTGTCGACTTCTAATTCCCGTGTCCATGTCCATGCAACACTGGTTCTGAATAAACAACCTTTGCTTGGCCTGAAATTTCCTTTGTAATTTCAGCCCAAATAATAGTTCCTCTTTGCAAATCCTCCGAAAGGACAAGTCCAGACATTCATATGGAGTTTCTAAACAGACCCCAATTTTTCCAAATTGTGTTTGCATGTTTCAATGATTAGGAGGAAAGGCAAGTATTTTAGGAGTAGCAGTGAAGTTCACACTGTTTTCATTGCACTGAATCTCTACTTGCATTCTTATAAATTGTCTTTGTAATAAGTTAAAGACACATATTGGACCACATTCCTTAGTACACTTATCAAATGAAGGATGGCAGCTTTTATTTTTAAATTTCCAATTACATTTGAACACAGTTTAATTCATCAAATTGTAAAATGCAATAAAGCATTGATAAGTCTAGAGTAGACAAACTCAATGGCAGAACATATTCTCCTAACTGGAATATGCTAGAAATCCTACAATCAACTAATAGTTTGTTTTATATGGTTGGAATTAATGGCTCATTAAATCAATTCCTGTACCACTAGCTTTTTTCATCCTACATGAATTACATGCAGACCTTGCATATTTCCATCAAGAACAAGTTTTGCTTGGTTTTCCCATTTCCTCCAACTGTAAATCTGCACCAACATGATTGAGCAAACTTATGAGTAACTCTGAACCTAAGGAGAGAGTTAGGTAAAGTTTAACTTACCTGAATAATATTTATGATCAAAAGAACACAGGTAAATGGCTTACCAAAAAATGAACAGGGCCTAAATATGTAATTGTATATTTCTACAGGAAATTATCTCCCCAATTAAATCCCATTCATATTGTATGTAATTTAAGCTGATAGGGTATCAAGTTGTCAATCAAAAGAAGAAAAGAAAGATCTTTAGCTTATTAATTTTTCTGGTATCCATTTTGGAGTTTAAGGAATTTTGATTCTAAGACTTCAATCATCACAAGAATTGATCATTTTTGTCCTGTTTATTGGTTTATAGCTTGTTGTACTACTTAGCATACACACCGATCAGCTGTACACATATATGGTTCTAAGTCCTTTCCTTAATGTCAATCAATACAATTACAACTTACTATTCAGAGAGAGGGAGAGAGGGAGGGAGGGAGAGAGGAAGAGAGAGAGAGAGAGAGAGAGAGAGAGAGAGAGATTTTCTGAAATTCTTCCATCAGTCCTCACAGTTCCAGGGCGCAAACATTGCTAAACGAAAGAATCTTGCTTGATTAGTATGATTAATTCATTTTGCCGGACAGGAAAGAAGATCACATGTCCCCTAAAAATGTGTTTGGTGATCTTTTGCAAGTTCATTTTGAGAGTTATACCAAGAGGCCTGGGACATTGTGATTCAGTAAAGGAACTCAAATATGAAGGCAACTTTTCAGGTTACCAACATCCAAGGGGCTTACTGGCACGAACGCCGAATGATATACAAGTGAGAGTCAAGAAGAGACCTCAAACGTAAAAGGCCCTTAATTGAAAAGAATAAAATTGGAGGCAGAAGCTCCAGAAATACCTAAAAATGATGAGGGAATACTTTACCTTAACCATAGACAAACCAACTGCAACACAACTATATAAAACATGAGTTATCCCAAGAACGAACAAGAACCGGTGAAGCTGCTCTAGACCTTCGTATGAAAGAAATGGTTCGCGACCCTGCAAAGCAAACAAGCACTAATGCAGCTACTAACCTTACATACAACATTGACAAACCATAAACAAGAAGAGAGCTGCTTACCTCACCACACTGATGAGAGGAGGAAGGATTAGTGATTGCTCTCCGAGTCACATCCGTCCAATTTGAATCAGAATGTAACTTTGTTATTGAGATATCATTCTTATACATAAAGTCATCTTCGGAACATAGATAGAATCGACTGCTGAAAAGAGATGAATCGATGCAAATCTCAGAGATCCACCTTGCGCATTGCCCCAGCATCAAAGATATAAGTCCAAAAAACATCAGTTCTGAAACCCACAGAATTAGACCGAAAATTCAGATACCCATTGTAGCAACAAAAAAAAAAAAAAAGCACCAGTTCTGAAACACACAGGATTAGACAGAAAAACTAGATACCCATTTCAGTAACAAAACAAAAGTCTCGCCTACATGAAAAAACCAGTCTTACTGAGTCACCCACTTACCTTCTTTGATCTTTTCCACAGAAGCCAGAAGAGCCTTCCTTCTAGTCTTCTTCAACCACTGTTAAAAGCAACAAGAACTTTTGCAGCACTGTCTATAAGACAAGAAACCAAAACCAAACCAAAGACACTGAACTAAATCATCCCTCACCCTTCCAAATCTGTAGATGGATCGTTCGACAAGAAAACAGACGAACACCATAACCGTAGTCACCGACGCCACCGACCAGGTTGGAGTTTGGGCCAGGGATCTTCCTTCCACTACATTCCCTTCCATCAAAACTCCAGACTCAATTTCAAGTGTATTCGTTTGATAACCAAAACCCACGATCCAAAAAAACAGAAACTGAAGGCCAAAAACAGGGGAAGAAGAAAAGAAGCAGGAAAGTGCTTAGCAGAGATAGCGATGTAGAATATCTACACACTCAGTACCTGACCTTCGTGGCTCTTCTCCACTCCAATATTTTATTGTTTTTCGCTGATTGATTGCCGAACAGCCATCTCCAATTCATCGGAGTGGCTGAAAACTGTCTCCTTCGTTCCTCGGCTCAACACGAAAACCAACATGCAAACGGAAGAAAACAAAGCTTTAAAATCTCACAATTGCAGCAACTACATATATTTTAAGATTTTAAAATGAAGATAACTAGCAATCTAGAGGTCTTTCCTCAGGCCATCCTTTTTTATAAACTTTTTTCTAATAGATCACAGATCCACTCGGATCTGTTAACCGTAATGCGCGCGCAAGACTAGTTTTTTAATTTTTGGATTATAGCTTTTGTTTAGGCAGTCTCTATCGTGCCGAAAAGGTATCATATAATCATTAGCTTTTGTTTGGTCGGCTCGTTTGTTTCAGATCCTTCCACTATCGTAGAAATTGGGTATTGTATTGGAAAAGTTAAGGATTGGCAATCAGTTTGTACTTTCTACAATACCTTTTTGTCTGGTCAAAATGATGGTGCAAAATGGGCAACGATTTCAAGGCTGCAAAGTGAAATCGGGTGGAGGATTTGTAATTAGTATTTGAATTCCTTAAATAAAACAAAACTTGTAATTTTTGTCCCATTTGCATTCTTTGATATTGCAAATTTTCTGTTTGATGAGGGACGATCTTCCCCTCTTGCCACGTGGGGATGAAAACGCTTTACGGCACCTTGATAATACATGTGGCAAGACCTTCCTTAAATGCATCTTGTCAGATTGGTTCACGAAGTTCGAATAAATTCATGGTTTTCAAAACCGGACCGGACGGTCGGACCAGAAAAACCTGGAATCGGCCAGGTCCGATTTTCTCCAAAACTGGATTTTTGCCAAAAAAATGTTAATTGGGTCAACAAACTGTTGACCCGGGCGGTTGAACCATTTGAACTGTTCAACGGTTTTGACGTTTTTTTAATTTTTTTATTTTTTTGTCAGAACAGGTCAAACAGTCAGACCGTTCAACCCAGGAACCAAACCCCTGACCGGTTCGTTCTCCGAATCAGTTTCAAAAACCTTGAATAAACTCTAACGTCACTTAAGCATCTCGTCAAATCGGCTTACAGGTTTGGAGCATACGTTTAATTTGGTCACACGGTACTTTCAGCCTACTAATTTGACCTAAGCATCTCGCTACCCGAGGGACCTCTATGACCGAGGTTTAAATTAGGCCATCACGCCTGCGAATCGGCACAACGGCACACAGGTCATGCCAGGCCCAGTACGATCGTGTGGACCATGCTAGGCCTAGAGTTTTAGGTCTGTGGGTCAGGCTGGCACGGCACAACCGAGAAGGTCATGCCGTTCGTAGCCTGCGGCACAGCCCATATATATTATTGGGATAAGTGGACCACAATCCACCTCAAAAATCTAAGTTGCAGCCTCCTCCAAGTCTAGTACACCCCCCCCCCCCACACACACACACCTATAAACCGCATCCTGCCCGTGGATGTGAATTGGCATCAATCCTCGGGCAGGATTCAATCCACCACTAGAAATCCTAACTTCCACCCTAGGGGTGGACTAAACTATAAAAACCCCTATATTATTTATATTATATATATATATAATATATATATTTATTTATAATATATAATATAAATTATAATTATATAATAATATAGTATATAATATATTAATAAAATAAACAATTGTTTTCAATTTAATTATACTAATTTTTTTAATTATTGTATATATAAGCAATTGAATACATCAAAATTCAAATAAAATTAAAATTTTAAGTTTCTTTTCATTTCTTTTAAATAAATAGCTTTATCTCGGTCCATGTCCCGGCCTGGCCCAAGGCTTGGCCCACGGGCCAGCCCGACCTATGGCACGGCACGGGCCTGCACGAGCTTGGGTCGTGGGCCGTGCCAGGCCGATCGCCTAAGTTATCCCAGGGGAAGGCGACACAGCCCAGGATGGCCCGCGAGCCCGTTTTACACCTCTAACCCAACCCTAGTATACCTCCAACTTAGGTGGTTAGCTCTCTCTTTTCCCTGTCCACACAGAACAATTGGCCTAAGATGTACACAAGCATGAAGGCCACCTAACGAGAAACCCACCCACATCATATGGGCATGTCCTGTAAACGACAAACACACATCCATTAACCGCCCAAAATGAGTCGGGCGCCTAGCTCGCCCCTCTTGCCATGTTTTGGTCAAGCCTCGAAGTCTATATAAGGGTAAACCTCCACCCTCCGAAGGTACACATACTTTTACTATGTGATTCATATTCTTACAATTTGTCATTTCGAAGAGCTCGACGTTTATTGACTTAAGTATCCAAGTTCCTTGCCCAAGACACCCACCCAGGCCCTTTTGACATTGTTTGTTGCAGATTCAACTACTAGCAATCCCTATTGAGCAACCTCCTAAACATAAAAGTCATTCCCTCTTGCTCTCATCATCTGTGTCATCTCCAAAAAACAATGACACTCATCAGTTTGTTGGAGGATCCCCTTCTAGGGGACATCCTCCAAATGTCAAGCACTCTACACCACCACAACAGATCACCAAGGAGCAATTCAAGCATCTCATGCAACTGGTCTAGAGCATGGATGTTTGCCTTTGAAGATGGGAGGAGCAAGAAGTAGCAGCACAACATCCGCCTTAAGAGTAGCCTACCACACCACCAAGAGGGTAGCTTCCAGTGTAGATGCCAACTTTTCGACCACATGTGCCTTCAATGATTATAGATGTTTTGATCTTCAATCTAGTCGAAGTTATGTTTTAAAGGATGTTACCTTGCTTGAGTCTTCATCATTTTTTCAGTTATCCCATCTGCCACTTAAGGGGGAGATTACGAGTGAAGATCAAACTCCATTTTGCCTTTCTGTTGTTGTTTCTATGTCTACTAGTTCTTCTTCTTCCTCTCATTCCTGTAATAAGGGCATTCGTTCCCCTCCTCCACCTCTTATGTATCGGCCTCAATCCTAGAAGCAATTCTTCATCATTCGTAGTAAGAGGGTGGCTCTTGAAGTTGAATGCACACCACTGTCTAATCCCTTAAACTCAAGTAATCTTGAACCTCCTAATATTTCTATTGTTTACCTTGATCTTGAATGCACACCACACCATGCATGGATGTTGCATGATACTCGCCCACCCTCCTATTATGCCTATATTTCTGCCATCTCCTTTGTTTCTATTCTTCGCAATTTTACAAAAGTAGTGCAGTATCCACATTGGAAAGAAGTCATGAACCAATAGATGGAAGCCTTGTTAAAGAACTAGACTTGGGAGATTGTGCCTCATCCCAAGGATAAGGTTCCTATTGGGTGTAATTGAGTGTACACTATTAAGTACAAAGCTAATGTTTTAATTAAAAGGTATAAAATATACCAAAACATATGGCATTGTGTATCTAGAAACCTTTTATCTTGTTGCTAAGATAAATTATATTCGTGTGATTATGTTACTTATTGCCAATTTCTCTTGGCCTTTATATCAGATGAATGTGAAGAATGCATTTATTAATTGGATTTATAAGAAGAAGTGTATATGGACTTACCTCCTAGGGTTAGCTTCCCTAACAGTGAAGGGAAAGTTTGTCGTTTGAAGAAAAAATCTTTGTATAGACTCAAGTAACTCCCTAGAGCCTAGTTTGACAAATTTAGAAATGTTGTTTTGAAGATTGGATTCTCTCAATCTCAGGTTAATCACACCTTATTCATAAGGAAGGTCGATGGTCGATTGATTATGTTGATAGTATATGTTGATGACATTGTTATGACTGGGGATGACATCTCAGGTATCTCTTAGTTAAAGCCTTGTCTTGTTTAAGAATTTGAGATTAAGGATCTTGGTGATCTCAAATACTTTCTTGTAGTTGAAGATCCAAGAAGAGAATCTTTTTCTCTTAAAGAAAGTATGTTCTTGATTTGCTTTATGAAATTGGTGTAGAGAACACTGATGTGGACCCCACGGCTGTGGTCCCCACTATGTTCGTATGGCAGCACAACATGTATTCTTTGTTAGTTATGTCAGTGTTAGTTGATAGTTATTTCAGTTTTGTTGTTACAGCTTGTTATTTCAGCTTTATTATTAGTTTATTTTCCATGTAAGCATTAAGGACAATTCAGCCTTTTTTACAATTAGTAAACATATAAATATTAAGAGTGGGTCGGCAGATCAATGCTATTCGATCCTCTCTCTCCTTTCCTAAAACCCTTCGTGTGCTTATGCTTTCTCCCCCTTTTTCTTCATCTCTTTCTCCATCTAAAATCTTCTTTTTACCATCGGATTCAAGATTGATTGTAGTCTTGATCGACTACTTGGTATCAGAGCCAATCTAGGGTTTCTCATGTGTGTCTAATCCAACCGACCACATGAGAATTGCCTAGGGCTGGAAGCTTAGAAAGAACTGTTCATTGGTTGATTCTTGGAGGTTACTAGAAGGGTTTAGCAACTGTCCAGAGGCTTGGAGAGTGTTTTGGTAATCAGGAAGAATCAGAGAAGGTTAAAAGGATCAATATTAGGGTTCAGGCCAAGATTGAAGGTGGCGATTAGAGTTTTCTGGGTAAGTTTTTATCTTTTCTTGAGACCGTCATCAGTCAAAGATAGGTTGGACTTATCTAGAAGGAGCGGTTAAGCTTTCCCTTATTTTCTCAAAGTCGATCAGAGTTTTCTATTTTTTTTAGGGTTTGTTCTTAACCCTACGACCAGACTTGACTGTGGACCTATTTGGAAGGTGCGACTAAGAATTATTTTGTCCTCACAAAGATTTCTCCAAGTTTTCCTTAACCTTAAATCTGTTTCAACATTCCAAATTGTTTTCTAAGTGAGTTCTAGACTTATTTCAGCTTTAAAGTCTGTTTTGGGGGGTGAGAACCTTTATCAAGAATTGGTCTACTTACAGTCAAAACTATCAATTGGTTTCAGATCAAATTTGAACTGAGTTCATACAGAATTTTGTTTTTCCCCTTGTTTGTGGAAGACCTAGGCTGGATGTTATCAGTTGTTTAAGTGTTGTTTTCTATTACAGTAGCTTTAAAAGCCTTTGATTGCTAATTCTTAACCAAGAATGGAGTTCAAGAATCAAGGGGAAGGTGTTTTTGGGAATAGCAATTATGGTAATATGTCTGAGATTGCATTTCAGATTACAACTGTGAGGTTTGATGGATTCAACTACTTAGAATGGGCCCAATCGGACATGATGGCTATTGGGGGTAGAGGAAAACTTAGATACCTATTGGAACTACTTGGTTATGACATGGTTGTGCAACTCTATGCAACCACATATCAGCCGAAATTATTTGTGGGCAAAAACAGCCAAGGAGATTTGGGA